CCACTGCACTCAGTCCTTTTCTTTGTTTTTAATTGATTATATATACAGAGGTTACTCAATTTTAAAGGTACAAGAACAAAAAGTGTTCCTTACTTCCCTATTGATGAGACACACAGTCCCACTTCCCACCAGAGGCAAGAACTACTCCTACTTTCTTGTTTATCTTTCTAGATATATTCTCTAAATAACAACCATAATACTATATACCCTTATTTTTCTTCACATGGTGTACTGTATATATGTGTCTAGATGTACATACATACTGTATATATGATCTAGATGTGCACACACACATGCACACACATACTGTTCTGTACTGTGCACTTGCTACGTATCAAAAATATCTGGCTAGGTGTGGTGGCTCACGCCTGTAATCCCAGCACTTTGGGAGGCTGAGGCAGGTGGATCAACTGAGGTTGGGAGTTCAAGACCAGCCTGGTCAACATGGTGAAACCCTGTCTCTATTTTAAAAAATACAAAAATTAGCCAGGCGTGGTGGCGAGTGATTGTAATCCCAGCTACTCGGGAGGCTGAGGCACAAAAATCGTTTGAACCGGGGAGGTGAAGGTTGCAGTGAGCCAAGATTGTGCCACTGCATTCCAGCCTGAGTGACAGAGCGAGACTCTTTTTTTAAAAAAAAAAGAAAAAGAAAAAAGAAAAAAAAAAATATATATATATATACACATATACACACACACACACACACACACACACATCATGAAGGTCTTACCATCCTAAATGGTAAATAAATGGGGCATTACAAATCTGCCCCATTCCTATTAATTTCTGTTCAGTACTCCATTACACGGATCTCCTTCCGTTAATATAATGCATTCCCTATTGATGTACATTTAGTTGTTTCCTTTTTTTTCTTGCTATCGAAAACAATGATTGCCCAGCGCGGTGGCGGCTCACACCTGTAATCCCAGCACTTTGGGAGGACAAGGTGGGTGGATCACGAGGTCAGGAGTTCAATGCCAGCCTGGCCAACATGGTGAAACCCTGTCTCTACTAAAGATACAAAAAATTAGCCAGGCATGGTGGTAATCCCAGGTGAGGCAGGAGAATCACTTGAACCCTGGAGGCTGAGGTCGCAGTGAGCCAAGATTTCACCATTGCACTCCAGACTGGGTGGCAGGGTGAGACTCTGTTTCAAAAATAAATAAATGAATAATGAAAACAATGATGAATGCTGCCACAAATAACTGTATTTACACAAATTTGCACTTGTGCAGGTATATTGGAGCTTATGTAGGTACCTCTAGGAGTGAAATTGCTGGGTTAAGGGTATGTATATTTTACAGTCTGATAGTGCCAAAGTATTCTACATAGTTGTTGCACAGTGTGCTTCTACATCAGCAGTGAAATTATCTTAGTCTTTTTTATTTTGTTTTTTAGGTAGACAAAGTCTCACTCTGTCACCCAGGTTGGAGTGCAGTGGTGCACTGCACACTGAATCCTCAATTCCTATTTCAGCCTCCACAGTAGCTGGGACACAGGCGTGCAAAGCCACACGCAGCTAATATTTTGTATTTCTTTTTAGAGCTGGAGGTCTTCCTGTGTTCCTCAGGCTGGTCTCAAATTCCTGGGCTCAAGTATCTGCCCACCTCAATCTCCCAAATTGCAGGGATTATAGACGTGAGCTACCACACCTGGCTTCAGTCTTTTGACACTTGTTTACGGCCTGTCTCCCTCCTCTGACCATGAGAAGGACAGTGCCTTGTTCATCACTCTGTTCCCAGGGACTTGCACATGGTAAATCTCAATAAATATTTGAAGAATAAGGAGCCCTCATTGTAGACTCTCTACCAGTTTTGCTCTAAGAATATGGTCAGCTTGCCGTTGAGCCTTTAGCACGCCATACAATTTTTTTTCTTTTTTTCGTGAGACAGAGTTTCGCTCTTCTCACTCAGGCTGGAATGTAATGGCACCATCTCAGCTAACCCACAACGTCTACCTTCCGGGTTCAAGCGATTCTCCTGCCTCAGCCTCCCAAGTGGCTGGGATTACAGGCACACTCAGCTGATTTTGTATTTTTAGTATAGATGGGGTTTCTCCATGTTGGTCAGACTGGTCTCAAACTCTCAACCTCAGGTGATCCACCCGCCTCGGCCTCCCAAAGTGCTGGGATTACAGGTATGAGCCACTGCACCCAGACAACACACTATACTATTAACACATGCTTTGTCTTTCTCTTTTCTCAACCCCACTGCCCCCCTGCCATGAGTACAATGGCTGATACACGGTAGGACTCAATAAGCCTGAGTTGAAGGGATGAATCGATGACTTTTCAGACTGTGGCTCACATCTGAAGCCAAATACAAGTTAGGAAGCAGGTTAAGCTAAGGAAGCTCAACGGACAACTAGGAGCTCTAGGCTAGAAAGTTGGGAAGGCGAGAGGCCAGGTAATTGTCTAGAGACTGTTGTCTGGAGCTGTGCTGGCAGGGAAACTCTCAACAGCTGTCTCAGAGAGACAATAACCCATCTTCCAAGAGGTCAACAGGACAAAAGTCTCCACTACCCCTTCCACCATTAACCTAGGATTGCTCTCTCCATCACGTATGTAGGCATGGGTTTTCAAGGACCTCTGAAATACTTTGGACCTGAACAAATTTCCATTGTTAGTTCTAAAACATAAAGCTGTGAAAACTAATCTTTTATGGCCGTGTGCCATGGCTCATGCCTGTAATCCCAGCACTTCTGAGGTTGAGGTAAGAGGATCACTTGAGCCCAGGAATGGGAGACCAGCCTAGACAACATAGTGAGACCCTGTATCTAAAAAAAATTTTTAAAAAGTAGCCAGGCGTAGTGGTGCCTGGTGCAGTCCCAGCTACTCAGGAAGCTGAGACGGGAGGATCACTTGAGTCTGGGAGGTCAAGGTTGCAGTGGGTCGTGATCATACCACTGCACTTCAGTCTAGGTGAAAGAGACAGGCTGTCATGGAAAAAAAAATTAAATGTATATAAATGTCAACTATTAACAGCAACTAGATTAAATTATATATAACTATTTATAAATTTTATTTAATGTGGGGTGTTACTACATTTCCATACTTTTAATATGATATAGAATGAGACCTTCAAAATTGGAACCTTCAAAGTTTTTGAGTCTAATCTCTACTTAGGAATTTTCTAACGGGGAGAATCCCTGTTTTGTCAGGATTTCATCTTCTTTAATCCTAAAGGATCCTCTTTAAATGAGGATCCTCATAAAAAAGGGCTGTAACAGAGTTACAGTAAGGACAAAATGAAATTTTAAAAAGTATTATAAAAGGACTAATCTGTAAGATGTAAAGTAGTATTAGTATTGGATTTTTTCTGGTCAGCTCCTGGAGGGCTAAGGGGTTGTTTTATTCATTTCGGCCTCTCAATCAGTATCTTTTGGGTGGTCCACTCCAAGGGACACTATTCATGTTATATTTAACTTGAAGAATTGCCATTCACAGAAAATGCATTGTGAATGCTGCTCTCCAGAGCACCATTCACAGAAAATGCAATGTGAATGGTGCCTCCTGGAGATTTTGCCTTCTTAGCAAGGTGCTAGAGCCAAGGGCTCAGAAATGTTTGTTAAGTGAGTGAATGGAATCCCATGCTACTTCTTACTCATTCCAACCCCCAGGATAAAAAGGAAAAGTTGACCAGGGGTGAGTAGAGTGGGGGAGGAGAAAGGATGACCCTTAGCTACAAGGCTTTTATGAGATGGGGTGTGGGTCGGTGCTGCTGGGAGGGCAGGGGAGGTGCGGGGGGAGGGGATACTAAAGCAAGTGTCCTGTTCCCAGAGTTCCTCCTAATTTTCCTAGAAATACTACATCTCTCCGATATCAATGTAGAACCATACTGACGATCTGACAGCCCTAGATGTGTCAAGTTCTTAGGTTGATTTATGCTGTTCATTCATTAAACAGACGAACAAACAAACGCACTTAGCGCCTACCATAAGCCAAACCCTGTGCTAGCGCTGGAGGTAGAGTGGGGAACAGGACAGCAAAAGTTCCAACCCGCGTGGGAAAGCAATCACCCTCGGGAGGTGGTACTTCAATTGAGACTAGAAGGAAAAGCAGGAGTGAGTGATTCAGACCAGGCCAGGTAGTCAGGAAGCTTGAGGGACACGGCCTTCTGAAGCGGGTCTGGAGCAAGGGAGTGAGGGAGACCAGTGGGCAGGGGCCAAATTGTGCAGGGCTTGTGGAGACAGTATTTTACCCTGAGGGTAATTGGGAGCCAGCAAATGATTTTAAGAAAAAAAGTGGCCGGGCGCGGTGGCTCAAGCCTGTAATCCCAGCACTTTGGGAGGCCGAGGCGGGTGGATCCCGAGGTCAAGAGATCGAGACCATCCTGGTCAACATGGTGAAACCCCGTCTCTACTAAAAAAAATACAAAAAATTAGCTGGGCATGGTGGCGCGTGCCTGTAATCCCAGCTACTCAGGAGGCTGAGGCAGGAGAATTGCCTGAACCCAGGAGGTGGAGATTGCGGTGAGCCGAGATCGCGCCATTGCGCTCCAGCCTGGGTAACATGAGTGAAACTCCGTCTCAAAAAAAAAAAAAAAAAGAAAAGAAAAAAAGTGGTATGGGCAAATTTTAATTTTTCAAAATGGAGCGCAGGTTGAATGGGGCAAAAGTAGAGGCAGGGAGAGCCATTAAGAGGCTACTGTGGCTGTCTTGGCGACACATGATGATGTCTTTAACCAGGGTGGTGCCGTGAGAGATGCAGAGAAGTGGATAGTTACAGGTACGTTTAGGAAGTAAAATCACACAGGGCTGGTGACAGTAAACAGCCTTACCTCAAAAAAGGTCCTGGAAAAGAAAACATTTTATTTTGCTCATTAACCCATCAGGCATCCCCCTTCCCTTAACCCTGTCGTCTCGATAAATGGGGACAGCAGGGGGCCGAGGGGCGGGGCAGGCGCCCACAAAAATCCGGGAACTTAAATTTAAACTGGGTGGACGTCAGCCTCCGGAGAGTAGATTAAAGAACACAGAAACTTCCGGTTACTCCGGAAGTGAAAGCTTCACATACTTCTAAGCTCCTCCCCCGGCGGCGAGCCAGGGAGAAAGGATGGCCGGCCGGGCGGCGCGGTTGGTTCTGCTAGCTGGGGCCGCGGCGCTGGCGAGCGGCTCCCAGGGCGACCGTGAGCCGGTGTACCGCGACTGCGTACTGAAGTGCGAGGAGCAGAACTGCTCGGGGGGCGCTCTGAAGCACTTCCGCTCCCGCCAGCCAATCTACATGAGTCTAGCAGGTAAGCTCCACCCCCACGTTAAGCCCCGCCTATTTATCTTGCTCCCGCCCCATACGCCTCCAATACGCCTCTGCAATCTCAACCTTAGGTACTCTGAGGTCACATATTATAAGTATTAAGTGAGTGGAGCCCCTAAGATGATAAGAGCCTTATCATCCTCTCTTACTTTCCCAGAAGGTTTCATTTACTTCCTTATTCAGTCAAAAAGATATTTATTAAATACATTTGGGCTACAATGTCTAGGAATGGCACAGAAATCAGACCAGGGTTCTACCCACTGGGGCTCACCCTCCCCACGGTCATATGTGCCTTCTCAAGTGCAAGGCAGAGAATGATTTGAGCCCCCGAGAGACTCTTAGATTAAGAATCATTTGGTCTTGCAGGCCACCTGCAAAAAAAAAAAAAAAGAAGCAGCAGCATTTAGGAGGCCGGTCGCGGTAGTTTACTCCTGTAATCCCAGCACCTTGGGAGGCCAAGGCAGGTGGATCACGAGGTCAGGAGATCGAGACCAGCCTGACCAACATGGATAAACCCCATCTGTACTAAAAATACAAAATTAGCTGGGCGTGGTGGCGCATAGCTGTAATCCCAACTACTCCGGAGGCTGAGTCAGGAGAATCGCATGAACCCAGGAAGGGTAGGTTGCAGTGAGTTGAGATCACGACATTGCACTCCAGTCTGGGCAACAAGAGGGAAACTCTGTCTCAAAAAAAACCCCACAAGCATTTGGGATAGGAAAGTGTCGGTTCTGGCTTTGAAGAGGTGGAAGCAGGGATCATCTTGGAACATTTTGTGTGAAGGAGGGACTTTGGACTGATACATTCAGTGTGGACCTGTGACTATAGTGGGCAAGGAACCAACATACTGAGCACTCAGTATGTGACAGGTGTCACAATATGTCAGGTAATTTTTATCACAACCTTTTGAGATAGTTTCTCTAATCGCAGTTTTACAGGTGGGGGTTAGAGAGGTTAAGTGCCCTGCCCACATACACAGCCATTATGTGGTAAAGTGGAGTTTCCAGTTCTGGCCTGATTGACCACAAGCTTGTCCTCTTTACTGTTGTACCACTTTGCATTCCAGACAGAGGGAACAGAGAGAGCAGATGCCCTGGACAGATGTGGGCACATCCAGGAGATTTGTTTATTCAGGGAGCAAGGTACATGAACAGGAGTAGTTACCAAAAGGGTTGGAAAGGCAATTTGGAGCCTCAAAAGTCAGGTTGAAGAATTTGGGCTTCATTTTCACAGGAAGTGGGTAAGATAGTAAGAACTCCTTCCTGGAGAGTAAGAGTAAATCCTATATTCAGGAGGGACAAACATAAACCCAGGTTTCCATAGATGAGTTCATCAGATGCCAAGATCTCGATGAACTTGAACAAAAGGAGAGGAAATGTCTCCCAAGGTGGAAAGATCGTTTGAGCTCTGGAGTTCAAAACTAGCCTGGGCAACATGGCAAGATGCCATCTCTACAAAAAATAAAAGAATTAGCCAGACATTGTAGTCTCAGCTACTTGGGAGGCTGAGGTGGGAGGATCATTTGAGCGTAGGAGGCCGAGGCTGTGGTGAGCTGTGATCTCCCCACTGCACTGTAGCCTGGGTGAAAGAGTGAGACCCTGTCTCAAAAAAAAAAAAAAATCTCAAATTGCTCACTAAAATATGCATACATATATACACCTTCCCCTATGTGTATGTCTTACCATCTCTCATTCATCCAGATTGGAAGGTAGAATTTTTAGATTTCTCCTGGTTCCTCCAACCTGCAGGCCCTCTTGGCCTATGTTTGGGCTTGGACCCCATTGATGCTCTCTGTGTGCCTCCCGGTGCTGGGGAACTCACCAGGGCACATTTGTCTGTTTCAGGCTGGACCTGTCGGGACGACTGTAAGTATGAGTGTATGTGGGTCACCGTTGGGCTCTACCTCCAGGAAGGTCACAAAGTGCCTCAGTTCCATGGCAAGGTGAGTTGGAGGGTCAGGGTAGGCATATGGTGGTAGTGTGGTGGGAGTAAGATACCCCCTGGTTGGACCACACTGTCCAAGCAATCTGAGGCATGGGGTGGTGGGTGTATGTTTGGGGCAGGTACCTATTCTCCCCAAAATCGGCTGGTTTCCATAGAATTGGATAGGATCCATGTGTCCTGCCTCTGGATTTGGAGTAGAAATATGTGGAAGGCTTTGGAGTCTCCCCAGAGAGTGGTGCTGGGCCTTTAAAGTGGCCGAGATGGCCACCTTACTGCAGGGACACATCCCCTTACCTACTGTGGCACGTTTCCTGTTGCTTCTCCAGTAGGGTCTGGATTCATAGTAATACACTTCAGCTTGTCTAGCCAGGCACAGTTTGTTTGTACCTTTCAATCCAGTATCATCTCATTCTGGCCTGTTGATGTTGGCAGGAAGCATTCACCCCAGTTTTTCACAGAGTAAGCTAAGGCTCAGAGGGCTGTGGACACTGGTAGAGGAGGGGTTGGGACCTGTGTCTTCTGGATGGCAACTCTGTGCTGTTTCCACGAGGCCATACTGAGCCATCTACCCTGGCCCATCTGGTCTTCCCAGAGATCAGGGCTTACAATGTTGTACCTGCCGGCCAGGATGGCGGTATGACCCTTAACCAGGCACTGGAGGGGGCTCATTGGTCTGAAGTGGGGATGAACCTGAGGCTTTGGCTAAAGTCCAGAGCTGAGGACCCAGCTGGGGACCTGTTGCTGCAGCATGTCAAGAATAGGTAGACCGGGCCAGTTGGGAGTTGCCTGCCCCTCAAACCCCCTTCATCTGCTCCTTTTTCAGTGGCCCTTCTCCCGGTTCCTGTTCTTTCAAGAGCCAGCATCTGCTGTGGCCTCTTTTCTCAATGGCCTGGCCAGCCTGGTGATGCTCTGCCGGTACCGCACCTTTGTGCCAGTCTCCTCCCCCATGTACCACACCTGTGTGGCCTTCGCCTGGGTAGGTAACCTGGCAGGACTCCTGCTGTCTCCCCTCATCTAGGAAGGAGGAACTCTAGATCCCTATTAACACCCAACAGGGCTTCTACTTACCAGCTTCCCCTCTGTTTTCCAGGGCTAAAGTTGCAGCTGCGGGATGGTGAGGCCTGGGGAGAAAACAGGGAGGGTGCTGAATCGGGCTGTTTGGGAAGGAGAGAGGAAAGAAGGACATTTTTCAGGTCCTGAAGAAGGAAGCCACTAAAAGACCCAGTAGGACACTTTGCAAATACAGAAGGGAGTGGGGCGGGAGGGCTAGAGAGGATGCTAGGACCACAGGTCTTTCCAAGGGCCCCTCTGGAGGACTTGGAGCAATCTCAATTCCAGCCGAGGCCTGGTGGGGAGGGAGTCGCAGCCACAATTTTCTGTCTAGAGCTCATCCTATCCTCAGACCATCCCTGGAGAAGCCCAGGTATGGTTCCATCTGCAGATGCAGAAAGGGCTGTTAGCTTTACAGTATGGCTGGTCTGAACAGCTGTATTCAGGGCCTGTAATTGTGTGATAAGCACAGACTGGGGTGCAGATATGAACCATGATGGCCTTGGGAAGGGCGTGAGAATAAAAGGTCGCAGTGGATATCTCTAGGTCCCCTGCAACCCTTAAGGAAAAAATTTCTACTCACTCACCTTCCTGCTGTCACAGAAGCCATTCACTCAGGTGTTGAGCACCTACTATATGCCAGGCACTTTACTGGGTCCTGGAGATCCAGAAGTCTGCCCTCTGTGCTAGTCACACAATTGAATGTGAGAGTACGGCTATGAAAAAGTACAGCTGGGGACAGGTGCTACAGGGGTGTGTGTAATGGCAAACATAGACCAGCATGGGGCCATCAGGAAAGGCTTCTCTGGGGAAAGGGCATTAAAGGTAAGGTGGGAATGATGCAGGAATGTTAACTAGGTAAATTTGAAGAGAGTAGGAGGAGGCTTTAGAAGAAGTCTCAGAAAGTGCACAGGCAGGAGAGAGTCAGGGTCCTTCCAGGCAGCCTGGCTTGCAGGAAATCAGAGAGTGGGTGTGAGCTCCGAGGGCAGATGGGGCCAGCCATGGAGACCCTCACAGTGGAGATCTCGACTCTCAAAGCATCAGGAAGTGCGGAGGGATTTTTAAATGAGGGTTGAGGAGAAAAGCAGTTTCATGAATAGATTTGCCCTTTGGAAAGCTCATTCTGGCTACTGTGTAGAGAACAGATTGGAGTGGGTCAGAGTGGATGCAGTAGACCAGCTGGTCATTTTAGCACAGGGTCCAGTAGCTAGACTAGAGAGGTGGCATGGGTCTTGGGTATTAAAGAAAAGTACACTTGAGCTGTGTTTTGGAGATGATGTTAAAACTTTTTTAAAACTTATTTTATTTATTTAATAAATACATATCCAGCTCATACTACAGTATGTCAGGCATCACTTTAAGCATTTTATAAATATTAATCGTGTTCATCCGATAGCAAGTGGCAAAACACAAAATTGCAGCAAACTTACTTGTAGATCCAGTTGGCTTTAATTTGCAATTCATGAATTAGGGCAGCCTCCATTCTACAAAATAGAGTGAAAGTTTCTATTGAGCAATACAAGAACAGTAAGTTTTGTAAGTTGGGAACCGGGAAACAGAACAGTAGAAAGAAACCTGATTGGTTAACATCAGGTTTTGTTTTTTTTTTATAAGGGTTAAAGCAGAGGAGACTTCCTTACTTGGGTAGACTGGACTCTCTTGTTTTCAGGAAAAAGTGGTCTGTTTTGGGACCTATCAGCTCCCTTAAAATTTCAGTTTGATTATGTGGCATTTAGCATGAGTGGCCATTTTGGTCTGGTCTAGTCTGTTGGGTCTAGTGCAGGAGCTCAGTCCAGAATTATGGCCTCCCATAATTTTTGTTTAAAACAGCTTATAGGTGTTATTATTCTCATCCCCAGTTTATGGATGAGGAAACCAAAGACTGAAAAGGTGAAGTAAGGCCGGGCGCGTGGCTCACGCCTGTAATCCCAGCACTTTGGGAGGCCGAGGTGGGTGGATCACGAGGTCAAGAGATCGAGACCATCCTGGTCAACATGGTGAAACCCCGTCTCTACTAAAACTACAAAAAAAATTAGCTGGGCATGGTGGCGCGTGCCTGTAGTCCCGGCTACTCGGGAGGCTGAGGCAGGAGAATTGCCTGAACCCAGGAGGCGGAGGTTGCAGTGAGCCGAGATCGCGCCATTGCACTCCAGCCTGGGTAACAAGAGCGAAACTCCGTCTCAAGAAAAAAAAAAAAAAAAAAGGTGAAGTAACCAGCCTGAGGTCACCGAGCCAGGGTTTGAATCCAGGGATCTGGCTCTAAAGTCCGCACTTTCAACATCTTCGCTGTGCTGACAAACCTCAAGAGTGGATTAGATGAGGAAAGAGGAATCAGGGATGACCCCTTGTGTTTCTTCTTGTAAGACAGTGATAGAGGCCAGATGTGGTGGCTCATACCTGCAGTCCCAGCACTTTGGGAGACTGAGGTGGGCAGATTGCTTGAGCTCACAAGTTCCAGACCAGCCTGGACAACATGGGAAAAGCCTGTCTCTACCAAAAATACAAAAAAAATAAGCCAGGCTTGGTGGCACATGCCTGTAGTCCCAGCTACGAGGAGGTTGAGGTGGGAGGATCACTTGAGCCCAGAAGGTTGAGGTTGCAGTGAGCTGTGATCCTGTCACTTTACTCTTGTCACTCCAGTCTGGGTGATCAAGGGAGGCCAGTCTTTTTTTTTAAAAAATGACAGTGATAGAAGCTGTGGTTGTAGATGAGATCACCCCAGGAGAATTTAGACAGTGAAAAGAGGAGGGATCTAGGGCAAAGCCCCGAGGAACCCCAGAACTGAATGGCTGGCTAGAGGAAGATGAGCCAGACACAGAGATGGAAGGCATAGCCCGAGGGGCAGGAGGGGAACTCGGAGATTGTGTGCTTGAGTTGTGTGTCCTGGGACAAGCACAGGAAGGAGAGGGGAGTGAGTCTGCTGTCCTGAATTTTGCACATGAGAACTGAAGAAGATCCTGGAGTCTGGAGACACAGAGGTCTCTAGGACCTTAAGAAAGCTGAGAGCTGGGGTATGCTGTGAAGTCCAGGCCGAGCCTTACACTTGGGAGATGGATGTGGGAAGGAGGTCAGGGAAGGAAGCTGTTAAACCTCTGGGAAATATTGACCCTCCTTAATACTTCCTATTCAACAACTATTAATAATAATTGAAGGAACACGAGCCATGTGACAGGCTTGTCTGAAGCACTTTACATACATTTCCTTATTTCACCCTCATAGTACCCCTATGAGCTCTGAGTTAGGCTCGGGGGAAAAAAAAACTTCCCTAACAGTGGCTCATGCCTGTAATCCCAGCACTTTGGGAGGTCGAGGCAGGCGGATCACGAGGTCAGGAGTTCAAGACCAGCCTGGCCAATACGGTGAAACCCCCCTCTCTATTAAAAATACAAAAATTAGCCAGGCATGGTGGCATTTGTCTGTAATCGCAGCTGCCTGGGAGGCTGAGGCAGAAGAATTGCTTGAACCTGGGAGGTGGAGGTTGCAGTGAGCCAAGATCGTGCCATTGCACTCCAGCCTGGCGACAGAGTGAGACTCCATCTCAAAAAAAAAAAAAATTGCCCAAGTTAGCAAGAAGTGGAGACAGGGTTGGCGTCCGGGGCTGTCTGGCTCCAGGACCTGAGAACTTAGCTCTGCTAGGCCGCTCTGTGTCCTGTGATGAGTGTTCCTTGAGCCTTTACTGGGAGTAGAGACGGGATTTAGCACTTGTGGGGGCTGAAGCCCCTGCCCCAGGTTGCTAAGCAGAGTGGGAGGTACAGGTCTGGCCAGCCTGAGCAGCAGACGGCGTGGAATCAGGGGGTGCTTTGGTAGAGAGCTGTAGGATTTGTGAGTTGGGGAGACCACGTCCTCTAACTGGGGAAGTCTGCCAGGCCAGGGAGGTCCGGGGAGGAGGAGATGTCTCATCTGGGACTTGCAGGTCTGGCAAGGCTTAGACACATACATGTGTGGGGACAGGGGATTGAATTCCAGCATTCCAGGCAACCTTGGCCCCATTGTAGCTGTGTGAATGGAGTAGAGAAAGAGGAGATGGAGCAGAGAGGGCCTTGAGTGCCAGCCTGAGGGCTAGGGGTTCTGATGTGGGCAGGGCCAGGCATCGGCACACACCGTCACAGGCTGGGTGAGATAAAGCCACCACTTCCTGCGTAGGCCTCTTGCAACAAAGCGAATTTAGTCATGGCCAAGAAAGCAGGAAGGGCAGGGAAACTGAAGAGGTTCCCCGTCTCCTTTCCTGTGGGGTTCCTCCACGACACTGCTTGTCTGGGCCCGCTGCGTGTACCACCCCCTATTCCCCACCTCCACTAGAGAGCATGGGACAGCCCTGCCTGAACTCTGAAGAAGCTTAGAGCCTCCTTAGATAGGCCACAGGCCTGAGAGGACCTCGGAGGGTTCTGCCCTTTGTCTTCATACCATGTGCCAGAGGCCAGGGGTCACATCACAGCTCTGGCCTTGCCATCCCTGATCCTCAGATCTTTCACCTGAGTTGTATCTGCAACTCAACTTCCTTCTTGGAGGGGGGGTCACACTTTCCAGGGTAGCCCAAAGTCCTGAGTGACTAAGGACCCTAGAGAAAAAGCAGGAGATGGCCGGGAGCAATGGCTTACGCCTATAATCCCAACACTTTGGGAGGCTGAGGTGGGCAGATCATCTGAGGTCAGGAGTTCAAGCCCAGCCTGGCCAACATGGCGAAACCCCATCTCTACTAAAAATACAAAAATTAGCCAGGTGTGGTGGTGTGTGCCTGTAATCCCAGCTACTGGGGAGGCTGAGGCAGAAGAATTGCTTGAACCCGGGGGGCAGAGGTTGCAGTGAGCTGAAATCATACCACTGTACTCCAGCCTGGGCAACTGAGTGAGACTCCATCTCAAAAAACAAAAAATAGAAAAAGCAGGAGATGTTGGTAGAAGGCAGATAGTTGGGGCCTGTGTCTTAGGGTACTCAATGGGATGTGGCGTTCAGGGACATGGGGCCCCCTCACGCTCTCACTAGGCCTTCAAGGAACAAAGCCTCAGAACAACCCACATTCCTGTGGATGGCCTAGTTTGGCTCTCCCAGTTGCTGTTGAGCCCTGTCAGTTTCTGCAGGAGGGAGGATCCTAAGCCGTATGGAGGGTGCGGTGGTGGACTTTGACCTGGGCCTTCTGGGGCGCTGAGGCTCCTGATTTCTGTTGGGGTGAGGATAGGAAGGCAAGGCCCTTCACCTGCTCTGGGCTAAGTCTTGGGGGAAGGGTACCTCAGCTTTGCCTCAGAAATAAGGAGACCCGCCCCCCAGCAGGGCTCATGATATGTTGGTACAAGAAGGCAGCCCCTGCCTTGCCATTCAGGCCTGGGCCTGGGCTGGGGGGCAGCCAGGCAAGGAGCGGGGAGCCCACCAAAGCTCTGCATACCATGTCCCTTTGACGTCACTGAGCAGGGGCCCTTGCTGTGTGCCAAAGCCAGAAGGCCACACCAATTCCTCAGGCCTTCATCCAGTCAGGAAAGGTCCTCAGATGTAGAGATAAGAGGGTGAAGCGGTGGGAAGGCAAACTGTCTCCGTAGAGTGGTTTGTGTGGGTGGGGACAGATTCTGCTCTGCCTCTGTTCAGCAAACTACAAGAAGAGATAGGGGCCGGGCTAAGTAATCCTGGCACTTTTGGAGGCCAAGCAGGTGAATCGTGAGGTCAGGAGTTCAGGACCAGCCTGGCCAACATGGTGAAACCCCATCTCTACTAAAAATACAAAAACTAGCCGGGCGTGGTGGCACGCACCTGTAATCCCAGCTACTCAGGAGGCTGAAGCAAGAGAATTGCTTCAACCCGGGAGGCAGAGGTTGCAGTGAGCCGAGATCAAGGCACTGCACTCCAGCCTGGGTGACAGAGGGAGACTCCATCTCAATAAAAAGAAGAGGTAGGTTGCGTCTGTTGTAGAATGATGGTTAGATTTTAGGAAGGACTTCCCAGGGGTCAGACAAGAGCTAGTGGAACAGGCAATGGCAGGAAATCATGGAATCCTTTGGGATGATAGAAAAAGACCTCCTCCCATCTTCAGCTACCTCTCTCTCCCTTCTCTCAGCAGTGAGCTGGGGCTGGTCTGCCCTGCTTGAGGCAGGGGGTGGGACACTGTGGCCTCCGGGGGAGCCCAGGATGGCAGCAGGCGTCATATTTAACATTCTGCCTCCCCCACTTCTGAGACACCGAGCTATTTTAAGACCCACTTGTCCCCACCACCGTGGTGTCAATGACAGCCCCAAGCACTGGGGCTTAGCGCAGGGTCGAATTCCTGACAGATCTGGCTCACTTGGCATCCAACCAGTTTCACGGCTGTGATATTTTTGTCTTGATTTTCTTATTTCCAACAGACTGAAACAGCCTCTTGCTCTCCCTCCACCCAGCCTCCGATTCCACCCCCACTGGCACCCTGCCCCTGGCCGCCCCTCTCCTCGGTGCTTACTCGAAGCTCTGGGTGCCTGCCGGGCAGCCTGTCATGCTCCTGGCCGGTTCCCCTGCCTGGCCCCCTTCACTCAAGCATGGCAAGGAGTCTGAGAGTAGCTGTGCATTGGTGTCTTGGAACTCTCCTTCCTTCCAGAGCCCATCTGTCCCCTTTGCTTGCTCTTGATTACAAACTCTGAGTGAAGAGCAGGGGGTCCCTTCAGTCCACATTGATGGGATCTCGGCTCCAGAGTAAGGAGGAGGGGCTCTTCCTATAGCTAAGGTGTCTCTGTTCGGGATGGAGAGACCCTGGGCCCCATAGTTTGACCTTGAACTTTGCGACCCCTCAGGAAAGGGAAGTTGAGGGTCAGGTGAAGGGGCGTGGTGAGAGTCAGCCTACTGGACATGATGAAGGAAACTGACATTGATGGGCACCTACCACGGACCAGGCAGCAAAAACCAGCAGGCACTCAGAGGAGTTCCTTGGTGCCAGGTGTTCTGCAGACATTGTCCTCAGCCTCCTCTGCAGTGGCATTATGAACCTGTTTTGTAGGTGAGGCAGTGGAGGATCATAGACTCTGGATTATGTGTCCAAGGTCACACAGCTACTTAGGGGCGGAGGCAGGACTTCAGGCTCTGTCTCATTGTGGAGACTGGACATTCTTCTTCAGCCTGGAGCTGCGGCGGTGGGCCTAGGCAGCTGGGGGACCACCCCTTCTCTGCCTAAACGTCCTTGGCCTGCAGGGAGAGTGGGAGGCAGACATCCTCTTTGGCCTCAGTTCTATGGGAAGCTGACGAGCCTTCATATGCTGGTCAGGCAGGTGGAGAGAAGAGCACCTCATGTGTTATCCTGCCCTGGGCTCTGTGCCATACACTGTATTTGTATTGCTCATGAAACCCTTATCAACTGTGATTATTCCCATTTTGCAGATGAGAAAACTGAGGCACAGCAAGGCTAAATAACTTGCCCAAGGACACACAGGAAATGCAGAGCCAGGAACTGAACCCTGGCAATCTGGCCCTAGGGCTTGCATTCTTAATGACACTACCTCCCAAATCTGAGGAAAGGGTGAGAAGAGCAGCACCCCCAGAGTGGGATACTCCCCGGGGGGGAGGGGCTTTTCAGGGGTGCAGAGGCCAGGCTTCAGGTGGATCTGTGAGTGGAAGGCACCCAGGGAGGTATTTGGAGAGGGGACCGAGCAGCCTGCCCTTCCTGTGGCCCTGCGCACGTGTACACACGCACACACCCCCTGCTTTTGGTGTTCTGAGCCACTTAGCTCAGTCCTGCAGTCCCCTTGTCACCCCCCCTTTTCCTGCTGTGGGTGACAAGGAGGCCTGGCTGGATGGCAGTCCCTGCCACCTTGCCCTTCTCACTCCCACACTGGCTCCTGGGCCACTCTCCTCCCTAAGGATGTCCCTGTTCCTGGCCTGCCATGGAGACCTGGTCATGTGGTCACCTGGGCCCTGTCTTTAGCCCAGCCTGCTCCTCTCCCCACACTGACCCTAAGCTGTTCAGACTGTGGGTGCAGTGTCTGAGAAACCACCAGTTTCAGTCCCGTTTTGCAGCCTCCATGTCTGTCTCTGGGGTGGGGGCCGCAGCAGGGCACAGCCTTGAGTCCAGTGGAAGGGACAGAGTGGCCATCCTCAAAGGAGAAGCAGCCTGGCCTAGACCAAACCACCTGACGCCAAGCTGGGAAGGAAATGAAGTTTCACTATGATTCGTCCCAGGGAAAGCTTGGGCTGAGAAGGGCAGGGCCCTTTGCCGAAGTCAACAGGAGCAGACGCAGCAAGGCTCAGCCCAGAGCCAGGCCAGACAGGTGCACCAGGCAGCCTCGAGCCTTCCAGAGCCCAGCACCCGGAGAACCTGGCTGGCTGTGCAGCAGTCCTGCCCCACCTGCACCCCTTCTCCTCCCATTCTCTCCTAGGCTCTCCAGACCTGCATTCAGAACGCATCTTCCTGTCTCACCCGCCTGCTGCAGTGCCCAGCAGAGCGTGGCTTATTGCCCTCTCCCTCTGTCCCCTGCCAGGCCAGTTTTCCTGGTACATTGGAACCAACTGAGCAGCTCCTGGTCTTTCCTGAGCTCTGTCCTACCCTAGCGCATCCCTCCCCACCTCCGGGGCGTTCCTGGCCTGGCCGCTCTTCCTCTGACCGGTTGTCACGGTTTCTCAGCCCTTCCCCTCAGTCCACCCTGCTTTCTGCATTTTGGGCTTTGCTGTGAACACAGCAGTCCCCGAAGAAAGTGCCAGCACCAATGCCCACAAGCTCTCCAGCTCATTCGTAAGATTACTTTTGTGCTCTCTCCACGCTGCTCATTTCCAGGAAGAAGCCCTCAAATATTCCCCTGGGCGCTGGCCCCACTGCAGCTCCTCCGGTCCTGCCCTCTGCTCCTCCCAGCCTCGGGAGCAGCCACTGGTCTGGCGGGTTGGGCAGGCCCAGCCAGGAGGAAGCTGGGCTCAGTTCCCCCTCCTCCTGGGAGCCTGGGCCCCAGTGGGATCTGCTTGATCTCCCTCCCCTGCTGGCTTGCTCAGAACACACCCCAAGCTGGCTCGAGCCCCTCCACCCCACCCACCTCATTCCCGCCCCCAGAGGCTGAGGTCACCAGCTCCCCTGGGCCTGGGTGGGGCTGTCATCACCTGCCGGTTGGAAGAGGAGGCCGGGCCCCTGGGGGCTGTTGTCTTAGCGATTGAGTAACTGGGGAATTGGCTCTGCCGGAACTGGTTCCCAGGCCAGGCCGGAACCTGTGGAGGCTGCAGCCCCCTTTGGCCTTGGGGATTTGGGGCGGCAGGAAGTCCACCCCAGGGACCCTGGCTGGGTGGCGGTAGAGGGACACAGGTTTGTTTGGAGGGCTCCAGGGGCAGGAAAAGCACATTTCTTGCCCCACAGAGCCCCTCCCCGAAGGTGAAATGGATGTGAGCCCGTGGGGGTCCTGGCCTCGGGGCGTGGGGGTGCAGTGTGCTCACCAGCCCCTTCTTCCTCAGGTGTCCCTCAACGCATGGTTTTGGTCCACAGTCTTCCACACCAGGGACACCGACCTCACAGAGGTGAGCACTCTCCAGCTCCCCCTACTCCGCACAGGGTGGTCCCAGAGGAGCCCAGAATCGGGCAGAGGGGCTTTAGAGGGTCACGCCAACTCCCTCTGGGGAGCGCTGGGAGGAGCAAGGGCCACGCATCCTGCACCTGTTGGTGCCCTTGAGCCGCTTTGAGCCTCATCAGGTGGGGATGATGATGAGCTCTTGCCTGATGAGGCAGCTGAGCCTTGGAGAGGTGGCCTGCTTGCTCAGGGGCACCCAGCTAGTAAAGGGTTGCCCCAGGATGGGACCCTATGGCTATCAGACTTCACACTGCACTCTGAATTCCATGCGGGGTGCTTATGTCCCGGAGCCTCAGCAGGGACCCTCCACCAGTGTCCTTAAAGCCTTGTTCCTAAGAATTTATTTATTTATTTATTTATTTTTGAGGCAGAGTCTCACTTTGTCGCCCAGGCTGGAGTGCAGTGCCTTGATCTCGGCTCACTGCAACCTCTGCCTCCTGGGTTCAAGCCATTCTTCTGCCTCAGACTCCTGAGTAGCTGGGACTACAGGCATGTGCCACCACACCCGGCTAATTTTTTATTTTTAAAAATAGTAGAGATGGGGTTTCACCATGTTGGCCGAGCTGGTCTTGAATTCCTGACCTTGTGATCTGCCCACCTCAGCCTCCCAAAGTGCCACTTCACCCGGCCTCCTGAGCACAAAAAAATTGTTACAATGATGTGAACACAAGGCTCAGCTGGGGTGAAACAGGTATAAGCAGGCCAAGGACCCCCGTCCCCTCCCTGCCACCCCTCCGTGCCCCTATCCTTGCGGGTCCTCTCCGCACAGCCTCTTGCTGTTCCCTCATTGCCTTTCCCTGTCCTCAGAAAATGGACTACTTCTGTGCCTCCACCGTCATCCTACACTCAATCTATCTGTGCTGCGTCAGGTGAGCCTGCCTGGGTGGCTGCAGGGGCAAAATTGAGCCCTGGGGGCAGAAAGGGGTCACCCAGCCCTCCCCTGGGGGTGCTGCTCTGAGGGCCTTCTTCACTAGTCTCCCAACGCCTACCCCCCTATCAGCTGTCCTGGGTAGGGACCCTGGGGTAGGACTGGGGGCCCTGGCTTCTGACAAGGAGCTGTGGCACTTGGCCCCTGGCCTTTGGGAGGATTGGAGGCCTGCCCAGTGGACCCATTTGGTGGGGAGAGGGGTAGTGGCTTGAGGGACCATGTACCCATGTTGTGGGGAGGAGATGCTTCGGGAAATGCTGCTCTGGAGACGGGCCGCCGCCCTCTGAGCAGCCCTGGATGGTGGGGCAGGACCGTGGGGTTGCAGCACCCAGCTGTGCTCAGTGCCTTCCGGGCTCTCCTGCTGCTAATGCTGACCGCACACGTCTCCTACCTGAGCCTCATCCGCTTCGACTATGGCTACAACCTGGTGGCCAACGTGGCTATTGGTGAGGCCCTGGGGAGCTTGGGCCATCTGCGGAAGTGCTAGCATGGGGTGTGAGTGGGGGGTTGGTGCCATTTCTGGAGAGGGAGTTTCTAGAGGGACCCTTGGGGTAGAGGAATGGGGAAGAATTTGAGGTGGGAGAGAGAGGAGGCTGGGAGGAGAGTCTGAGGATGATCCTAGGGTCAGAGAGCATGGAGTTGGTGGCGGCCTTGGGAAGAAGCCAAAGGAATGAGTCTCTCCTGTCCCCACCTGGCACCCAGGCCTGGTCAACGTGGTATGGTGGCTGGCCTGGTGCCTGTGGAACCAGCGACGGCTGCCTCACGTGCGCAAGTGTGTGGTGGTGGTCTTGCTGCTGCAGGGGCTGTCCCTGCTGGAGCTACTGGACTTCCCACCGCTCTTCTGGGTCCTGGATGCCCATGCCATCTGGCACATCAGCACCATCCCTGTCCATGTCCTATTTTTCAGGTGAGTGCTGCCCCCGCCCGGTGCTCACCTTTGAGCCCTCCCTGGCCCACTTCTTAGGGGAGACTGGGGGCTCTGTGTGCCCATCCAGCCCTTCCCACCTTGCCTGCCTGCACCCCACCCCACCCCCACACGAGCCTCAGAGCTGTGTGCCTCAGTGGGCTCCTCCTTTGGCCCACAGCTTTCTGGAAGATGACAGCTTGTATCTGCTGAAGGAATCAGAAGCCAAGTTTAAGCAGGACTGAAGACCTTGGGAGCGGGTCTGCCCCAGTGGGGATCCTGCCCCCACCCTGCTGACCCCCCTTCTCTCCCCAACCCTTGAGATGATTCATTTTCTCCTTTCAACTTCTTGAACTTGGACATGAAGGATGTGGGCCCAGAATTACTTGACCAGCCCACTCCTGCTGGCTCTCACCAGCCTTGGAGCCTGGGCTAGGGAAGGCCTCCCAGCATCTGGGACTAAAGAATGGGCAGCCCCTCTGCCTCCTGGAGCCGAACTGAGTGTCTTCTTAGCTCTACCGGGAGGAAAGCTGCCTGTTTCCTCCCCACATCCCCCGCTGCCTGGCGTGGTCCCAGAGCCCTCTGTCTACTTGGGAGACCGGGGACCACAGGCCTTAGGGATACAGGAGGTCCCCTTCTCTTGCCACCCCCACCCTCCTCCAGGACACCACTAGGTGGCGCCAGATGCTTGTTCTTTGGCCAGCCAAGGTTCAAGGTGATTCTCCTGATGGGATCTTGAGGGACCAAGCTGCTGGGATTGGGATTGGGAAGGGATTTCACTCTGATCATTGCCAGGTTCCCAGGAGGCCTCACCACACTCCCCTTCAGGGCCAGGGCCCCAGCAAGCCCAGGGCAAGGATCCCTTGCTGAGGTCTGGTTGAGAGCCTGCCACCCTGTGTCGGGAGTGTGGGCCAGGCCGAGTGCATAGCTGACCTGTGGTAAGCATGGGCTTGGGTGTGTGTGAGCTCAGGCCTACGTGTGCAGCATGAAGAGGGGTGTTGCGGGGTACGAGGTGTGGTTTCAAAGTGTGTGTGTGTAGGGTGCGGGTGGGTTAGCTGGGTTAGGGGAACATGCATGTGAGCGTGCTTGTGGGCATGTGAGAGAGGCGAGTGTGACTGCAGGTGAATGTGCCCTCAGTTGAGAGGTTGAAGAGGATGAGGGAATCATGTCACCATCAGTAATCACTGTGGAGCACCAGCTCTGCCCAAGGCCCCAGCCAGGCAGACAGCCAGGACCTCTGCACAGCCAGGCTGCCTGTGTGTGTGTTCCCTGTCCCACGCCCCCTGCACACCTCGCAGGGCCTCCACACAGCAACCAGCCCCTAGGGGGCAGAGAAAGGAAAATGGGGATGCCTGGGGCTCTCTCCAGCCTCTGTATCTCCTTGCCTTGGCATGGTTGACCTCCCCTCCAAAAGCCCCTTTCCCCTGCTGCCTGACCCTTTGCATCGCCTGGACTTTGGGGAGGAGGAAGGGATTGAGGGAGAAGGGGTGAAAGCTTGTGGCTGGGTCTGGTTTCTGCCCTCCCCAGAGGGTCTTACTGTTCCAGGGTGGCCCCCCGGGCGAGCAGGAGCCACACTGTGCGGACACCCTGGTAAAGGTGACCCCTGCCAGTTGCCAGCAGCCCTGGCATGTTCCTGCCCCACAGGGATAGGATAGAGTGAGTGCCAGAAACTTTCCATGCCAAAGGCAGTGTCCGTGGTTGAAGCAGACTGGATTTTTGCTCTGCTCCTGACCCCTGGTTCCTCTTTAGGGGAGGGGAGCTATGCTAGGACTCCAGCCTCAGGGACTTGGGTAGCCTGTGCTAGGTTCTTTTGATACTAAAAACTGTTTTAAGGTGGGAGGGTAGCAAGGGACGTGGTTAATAAATCATTTTCAGCCTCACCTGCCTTTGTTCAGCTCATTTGTGTGAATAGGGTGGGCTGGAGGGCAGGAAAAGACAGTTGTGGGGGCAGGGGAAGGCCCCATAGCTGGCTGGAGGCAGTAGACCGAGGTGGGGTCTCTGCCTGGGCACGTGGGCATAGGGAATGGAAGGTCCCAGAGCAGAGCTGGGCAGAGCCCAAGTCCACTTGTGAGGGGCAGCCGGAGCCAGCTCTTGCCCTTTGGCTTCCCTGAGCCTTTGTTTTTTGATGGTAACACCCCTACCACCTTGCAGATGCTACTTCCATCTCCTCATGATCCCACTGTCCCCCGTTGTGGTCTGAACCAGGCTGCACTGTTTGTTACTTCACCTCTCTGAGCTTCACCTGGAAACAGACTAGCAGGTCCTGCTGCTGAATGCAGGAATGAATGATGTCATGGGCAGAATGGCATGTCACAAGTGCCTGGTGCACCGCAGGTGCCCGGTGAGCTCCCCTTGACCTTGGCCTTCCTTAGTTTGGGAAGAATGAGTGGTACAGAATGCTACCCTCAAGGAAGCTTCTGGGAAAAAAGAAAGCCTAGGGCGAGTGTCTCCCCCACCCTGACACTCAGATCTCTGGGCCCTTGTTGCTTCCCAAGAGAGGCACAGACAGCACTGAGCACAGTGGCAGGCCATTATTTGTTTATTAGGTGCCACCTCAAAGAGCAGGGCACGCTGGGCCCTCACAGCCCTACCTTCTTCTGAGCCCAGGCAAAAAAGATGCCCTTGACGTCATCTACACCTGTCTGAAGGCGGGCAGGCATGATGTAGGTGCGGAGGTCCCGGACCTCGTAGCCACTACGCTCCAGGGCCTCTCTCACCTCCTCCTCAGACACTGGCACCACCGTCAGCCTGGCCTCCCCAGCCAGGTACCACGACTCCTCCAGGGCCCCAATGAGGAGGAGGTGCCCCCCAGGCCTCAGCAGTGTGGTGATGTGGTCCAGGGCCCGCTGGAAGCTGGCAAGATCTGGGCTTACAGCCTCCAAGCAGAAGGCAGAGACCAGGGCATCGGCAGGCAGAGGTGCTGGGCTCCCAGCACCCAGGGGCTGGAGCTGGTGCACATCGATGGGCAGGACTCGCTTCACTCTGGCTCGCAGCTGGCGCTCCTTCTCTTGCCAGGATTCCCTGTACAGGGGGCAGAAGGCAGGGCTCAAGACTGTTCTGCGCTCAGGCCTCTGTTGCCCCCACCAGCCACAGCCACTCTATGGGAAGACTCCCTGCCCAGCCCTCACCACCCCAGTCCTTACCCCTTGCCCTCAATGAGGCAGGCATGCTGGCTGTACACGCTCCAGTTGAAGGCCCCGGGTTCCTCCCGCAGCCAGCGCCCCAGCTCCTGGCGGTTGACCTCCAGGAAATCTGTCATGGTGATGTCTTCAAAGTGGCTGCAGGCGCTGAGCAGCTGGTACACGGTGGGGCCGGAACCAATGTCGATCAGGGTGCGTCCAGACACCTCACCTGGGCAGGGCAGAGGAAGAGGGTCCTGGTGCCAGGCCGGCCCAGGCAGCCCCTTCCTCCTCACTCCCCCCTCCCCTTCATCTTCCTGCCTCTCTCTAATTCTTCCTTCTCCTCTACAAGTATGTCTCCATCTGGAAAAAGCATTGGCCCCAGAGTTAGACTGAACCCAGCTCCAACGTAAACTGACTTCCCTTGGGAAGGGAACTTCACCGCTTTGGGACTCAGGTTCCTCCGCTCTGAGACTCAGGTACTAGCTGGGCACGGTGGCTCACGCCTGTAATCCCAGCCCTTTGGGAGGCCGAGGCAGGTGGATGACGAGGTCAGGAGTTCCAGACCAGCCCGACCGACATGGTGAATCCCTGTCTCTACTAAAAAAAATACAAAATTAGCCGGCCTTGGTGGTGCATGCCTGCAATCCCAGCTACTTGGGAGGCTGAGGCAAGAGAATTGCTTGAACCCGGAAGGTAGAGGTTGCAGGGAGCCAAGATCGCCCATTGCAACCCAGCCTGGGCAAGAAGAGCGAAACTCCATCTCAAAAAAAGAAAACTACATCTACCAGCCAGGCTTAGCGGGGAAATCCTGGCGGTTTCTCGCCCCTGACCGATCATCTCTGCCTCCATTTCCTCCTCTGCATCTCCCACCTCAGCCCTAATCTTAGCTCTCAATTCTGAGGGCCCTCCGCTCCCTCTCGCCTCCTCTCTTTCCTCTGCCCCACTCCTAAGGGCTGTTTCTCCTTTTTCTCTTCTGTTTGCACCTCTCAGCTATCTCTGCTTCTTGGTCCTCATCTGGCCGGCGCGCGGTCCGCCTCCTTTCTGTCTCCCCGCGCCTGCTTTCACTCCCCGACGACCTCTTGTCCCTCTTGCCTCAGTTTCCCGCGCCCACCTGTGGCGAAAGTCTGCGCCAAACAGCGCAGCTTCCACGGCCCGACGCCGTCCGGGCTGCTCAGGTCCCCGCGAGGGGGCGCGTAGTTGTTGCGGAGGTAGGCGCGCGGCTCGAAGCGCTGGTAGGCCGAGGCCACCGCAGCCCGCCCCGGGGCCGAGTCGGGGGCTGCGCCCGCAGCGCGGCTCGGGTCTGCGCCGCTCATGCTGCCGCTGCTGCCCGCCCGATGCCACGCTCGCCTCGCGGCCCCTTTTTCTACTACCCGACCCCCGCCCCGATCCGTCCGCTGTGGGGGCGGTAGCTGAACCAGAGCCGCCCGGGGCTACGCGCGCCGCATCCTCCCCAGCCCATCCATCCATCTCCCTTAGTGTCCGGGCGGCAGACGCACCGGAGGTGAGGGGGGCGGCTGCAGCTGCAGCTGCAATCGGCTCCCGCCCCGCCCCGCCCCGCACGTGCTTCCGCAGCGCTCGCCCTCCGCCTCGCCTGCGCCCGTCCGAGTCCTGCCTCTGTGCCGCCCTCCACCCTCAGTTCCTCACCCCACAATTTTTAGACCCCCATCCCCGAGGCCCGGCCCCTCCCGTCCCTCTTCTCCAGCTCCCCGCAGCCATTCACCCCTTCTGCGCGGCAGCCCGCCCCATCTCTTTTCTGATTCGAGGTGGAGACTGGGGAATTTGCCCCTTTGCCCAGTTTCCCCCTCGCAGCGCCCGCCCCCCCTCCCACGCGAGGCCCCAGACCCCGCCAGGCTCCCCTCCGTCCCGGACACTCGTCCCAGCACCCACCCTTCTCTTAGAACTGCCACCCAACTTCCCTTCTCCTCCCCTCCTCCAGGCCTCTCTCGTCCTTTCCTACGCCACCCGGCCCTCCAGCGGCCCCCCCACCCCGCCCCAGAAAGGACAGTCCGTTCCGGCCTCCACTGTGGTCGCTCCGGGGGCCCAGACCCGGGCGCAGCACCGCCTGTCCGATGGCAGGCGCGATAGAGGACGCGAGCGGCGCTAATGCACTTAGCCGGCGGAACAGCCTGACCTCCCCTATCGCGCCTGCCATCGGACAGCCAGGCTTCCCTTGCAGGCCCCGCGGGCTCCCAGCCGCTTATCTGGGGGCTGCTGAGGACAGAAGGTTCGGGTTCGGGTTGTCCTCGCCACGTCGCGGGCGCGGGACCCAGGTGAGGGCAGAAGGAGGGCATGAGGGGGGCGTGTCGCGGGGCACTTTCGCCGAGGGCCACCGGGGGCGCAGTGCAGGCCTTGGGGCCCAGCAGATTTGGGGTCCTGCGGATCCTGGGACTGGGGCTGGTGCACGTCGATGGGCAGGACCGGCTTGCAGCTAGTGCTCTGACCCCTCTCATCTCGCAGCCCACACTCCAGCTCAGCTCCGAAGCAGCGGCCAGGCCAGGCCTGCGGTTCTGTTCGGGTGCCCTAGGTCCTGGCTGTCAAAATGCCAGGGTCGCCGGGCGTGGTGGCTCAAGCCTGTAATCTCAGCACTTTGGGAGGGCGAGGCGGGTGGATCACGAGGTCAGAAGATCAAGACCATCCTAGTCAACATGGTGAAACCCCATCTCTACTAAAAATACAAAACATTAGCTGGGCATGGTGGCGCGTGCCTGTAATCCCGGCTACTCAGGAGGTTGAGGCAGGAGAATTGCCTGAACCCAGGAGGCGGAGGTTGCGGTGAGCCGAGATCGTGCCATTGCACTCCAGCCTGGGTAACAAGAGCGAAACTCCGTCTCAACAACAACAACAACAACGACAACAAAAAAAAAAAAAAAAAAAAAAATGCCAGGGTCTCCCCACCTATCCCCCTGATGGGAAGCCAATTCTGTATCTCCCTGGTCTCCCTGAAGACCCCTTCCTTCCCCTCTGGATGAGTCTGGGGCCCTTCCTCCCTGGGTAGGCCACCAGCCCAGCTCCTACCACGGTGGGTTCCTGGCCCTGCTTGATTCGGGCCTCCTCTGTGCCCTCCCCTCCCGCCTGTCCCCAGGGGAAAGTCTCCTTGGGAGAGGCAGCCAGGTTGGAACATGAGTCACCGCAACAGCTGCAGGGGTCACAGAGAGGAACCTGACCCCCTAGCACCTCCAACCTTCCCTGGATTCCAGGGCAGGGAGGGTGGACCGAGACTGCCAAGGATTGATTCTGTCTGGATTCAGAACTGAAAGGCAGGTTAGCCTTGAGGTCACTGACCCTGTTCACACCCTGGTGCAAAGCCAAGGACAGTCCTGGTGCCAGCCCCTCCATATTCTCCATGGGACATCATTGAAACAAATCCTGGATGCCAGCTGGCTTGCTGGGTACCACCCAGTGCCAGGGGGCTGGACACAGAAGCCAGGACTGGGCAGGGTACGGAAAGGAGACTGGAGACAGCACCCTGTTTACAGCTCCGTTCTGGCCCCCCCACCCCAAGTATGGGCGTACCCATTAGCTCTGCCATATTTAGCTCAGATGCAGGGCCGGGACCCAGAAAAGGGCACTGGGGGGACACCCATGGGCCAGCCCCACAACCACAAGGAGAGACGCGACTTTGGCACATGATTGAGCGTTTATTGCAGCACTAACTAAGGTGCTGGGGGCCCCACCATCCTTGCCTCTGCCCTCTTCACCTCCCCCTCCCTCCCAGCCTCTTCTGCCTAGTGTGTTCCAGATTCCCGGCATTTTTCCTG